TTTGTTGAGGGCCGCACGTTAATGGCACTAGAATCAGTTTTCATTAACGATACGCCGCAGTGGTTGCCCAGCGGCTGCGATGTGAAAAAAAGGTCCAGCGAAAAAAAAACCGCATGCGTGCATTGCTGGCATATTTCGCTCGCCGTCTCCGGCTAAAGCTGTGGCAGTGGCAGTGGTACTGGCTAGGTCATGGACGAAAGCAGGGGCTGGGGCAGAAAGAGAGGACTTGGGATGTTGCACTGCAGCGACGGCAATTAATAAAACACACACCTTCTGCGCGGTAAACGTTGCTTTCGTTTATTCTCTTCCCCCCCTCGCATTCAACCATTCATTGTTCTGCATATTTAGCTGCTGCTGTTTGGCAGAGTTGTGTGAACTGGCTCAGCGATCTGGGTGTTCATTCTATATTATATCTCTGTATATGTATACACGTATATAAATTACATAATAACGTATAAACAAATTAAAATACATGCATAAAAATATGTTGCACTTCTGAAATTTTGACAGACCAAATAGTACATTTATTTCTTTTGTCTATCTTTAAATGTGAATCTTTTTGAATGTTTATTTTATCCTTGAATTATAAGTATACAAGTATAATTAAAAAGCAAGTTAAATTTTACGGCCAGATAGAATAATAGATATTGTACTAACTACTAACTTATTCTTGGATTCACTGAGACAAAGATACAAATGAAATTATCATTTGTATTCATTTGTATTTACTTATCCCGCATTGGTTTATAATACTAAATATTACAATGATATGTAATAAACATCTCACATAACAGTTTATTAAAAATAACTAATGTAGTTTTTCGCGTTTGACATTAGCAAATAAATAATTCTGTCTCGTGTTTGTCCACCCAGGATATCCAGAGTTTTCTATTCAAGTTATTGTATTCCCCAAACGAATTCTGTCAAATTTTTTCTGTCGTTTACAAGTTAAGTCTTTACTGGCTGAGGCAAGGTATTGACAATAGGTTAAGTCAGTGAACTACTGATAATTTGAACTACTTGTAGAAGGCATGGAGCTGCTGCTGTGGAGCTGTGGCACAGTGGTGCAAAGCGCTTATTTATGTGCGTCGACTGCCGTTGGCGTTGGCGGCGGAATTGAATTTAAAAACCTCAAACGCAGCAAAATATTTCACACGCATGCAGTCGGCGTTCGCATCACCGTCGGCGTCGGCATCGGCATCGACGTAGCCAAAGTCGTCGAGATTTTTCGTATAAATCACATTTTCGCAGCGCAAAAATATAAATAATATATATGTATGTATGTATGCATGTAGGTGTGCGAGTGTGTGAGTGCGTGAACAAACTCAGTGAGGTTGTGCGTGTGTGGGGGAATATGTATTTTTTTGCGCATACATAAATCTTTCAGTTTGGATTTTCACTTTGGTGGCATAAATTGACACTGGCTGGCGATGAATCCGTAGATGAAGGCGATGCTGACTGCGACGCCAGCGCTGTGGTAGCCACATTTGAAAACCGCGCTTAAAAGCATTCGCTGTGCGTCAACGCCTGCCTGCTTTGCTCTTGCCACTCCTTTCCTCTCTCCCTCTCCATTTCTGGTCTATAAGCTTGGTCTGCAGCCAACCTGCGTTGCAAATTGTTTTTTGTCAGCTCGAAAATTGCAACAACAGCAACTGATGCCGCTATCTTTATTGTTGTTGCTGTTGCAGTTGCCGCTGCCGCCGCGTTGACAGTAAAAACTCATTTGCGCAAAATTAAATTAAAAGTTAATTAACGCTGTCAATGTGCAAAGCACTCGAAACGATCCACTACAATGCTGAAACTTGCAACGCTGCAAACTGCAACCTGGGCCTGCGACTGCAACTGCCGCTCGGCTCGGCTCGGCTTGGCTCGGCTGTAGTCAAACTTTGCCGGCCAAGTTGAAAAATCACCGCAAGTCAAGTTAAGCATACAGTGAAACCAACAATTATTCGTACACTCTTTACTTTTGACTTTAAAGGCCTATATCTTCGCTGTTATTTATAATACACAACAATTTTTAATTTCAAATGAACACTTAATATTTATATTTTATATTTTAAAAACAATAACAAACAATTTCATAATTGGTAATGGAAAAAACTTAATCTAATCAAAATAAGGCAGGTTTTTACGTCCATAAATTATTCGTACACTTTGTGCCTTATCATGTTTTCTCATCGCATGTAACTGTAATTGGCAATTCTTTTTAAGGAATTTCGTTACCGTCGCCAGCATTCAGCATGTACATTAGTTTTCATTCATTCTTCTTTGATTTTTAATTAGTGTTGAGACGAATTTTGATTGATATAGACGCAATGGGGCGAGGAAAGGATATTTCACTTGATATGCGCAAACATATTCTTAAATTGTATACAGAAAATTATTCTCTTCGCGCCATTGGCAAATTAATCGACAGATCACACTCTTCTGTACAAAGTATAATACAGAAGTACGGAAACACAGGGAGTTTGGGTGCAAATCATAAACAAGCTGGGAGACCAAAAATTCTAACACAGCGTGATGAGCGAAATATAGTAGCTGCTGTTGTCCAAAACCCAAAAATAACCACTTCAGAACTATCCAAAAATATTGAACAGTGTAGCAACAAACAAGTGTGCCACCAAACCATACGCAATTGCCTATACAGTGCTGGTTATCATGGAAGGATTGCACGGCGAAAGCCATTCATTTCGGCGGTTAATAAAAAAAAGAGGCTGGAATTCGCCAAACTGTATTTAAATGAACCAGATTCGTTTTGGGAAAACGTTATCTTTAGTGATGAGTCCAAATACAACATTTTTGGGCACGACGGCCCTCCCAAAAGCTGGCGAAAAGCGAATGAAGCCATGAAAGAGAAAAACATTATTCCCACCGTCAAGCATGGTGGAGGAAATGTAATGGTTTGGGGATGTATAGCTGCATCTGGACCTGGAAACATGGTGTTCATAGATGAAAAAATGGACAAGCACATTTATAAAAGTATTTTGGAAAGAAATTTACATCCAAGTGCCACAAAGCTCGGGCTCGATTCCAAAAATTCTTCTTCCAACAAGACAATGACCCAAAACATTCATCATATTTGGTACAAGAGTGGCTGATATATCACTGCAAGCAGCTTAAATCTCCACCCCAATCACCAGATTTAAATCCCATAGAGCATATATGGGAATTGCTTGAGAGGAGGATACGGAAGCACAATATAACATCCAAGGAATCCTTGAAAGCCGCATTAGTTTCTGAGTGGCAAAAAATTTAACCAAGAGAGACCAATAATTTGGTGAAGAGCATGCACCGGCGCTTACTAGCCGTTATTAAGGCCAAAGGCGGGCCTACAAAATATTAAAATTTAAATAAGATGTAAATTTAAGAAAAATAATTTGAAAACAATTAAGTGTACGAATAATTTATGGACGTAAAAACCTGCCTTATTTTGATTAGATTAAGTTTTTTCCATTACCGATTATGAAATTGTTTGTTATTGTTTTTAAAATATAAAATATAAATATTAAGTGTTCATTTGAAATTAAAAATTGTTGTGTATTATAAATAACAGCGAAGATATAGGCCTTTAAAGTCAAAAGTAAAGAGTGTACGAATAATTGTTGGTTTCACTGTATGTCCGCTTAAATTGACGAGAACTGGTTTTAAATGGCAAGTTGACAATTTACGATGCAGGCGAGTGGTGCGCTCAGAAAAGAGAAGCAAGCCACAACAAGTTGACTGCAGACTGCCACTGACCGCCTGCCCGATTGTCTGACTCTGGGGCTGTCGGACGGTCAGACTGTCAGACTATCTGACTACCCAGCTCGCAGGCCAGCCCCGCAGATATTCACACAAGCACACACATAGTTATCCTCGTGCTTATACATATGCTGATGTAAATGTGCGCGGTCAGACAGTGCGTATGCTTAATGTGACATGGCTGCACTGACCGCACTGGTCACACGGACCATGCTGGCAAAATCAACAAGATGCAACATGCTGATAATTAATTTGCAAGTAAAACTGAAAATTGCACGCGACGAAGTAAAAAATAAACATTGAACAATATCATTTGTCGCATATTGAAGGTGCATATTCACAGTATTTTCGAAGCGTTTAATTATTAGTCAGTTTAAATATTCAGTTGCCACGGATCTGTAGTAGATGCATTTTATTTATCTTGTTTTTTATTTGTATGACTGCGAATCGAAACTTGGTGAATAAACTGTATAGTTGTGCAAAATAAGAAAGTAACATTCTATAATTTAAATAAGTATTATTTAAAAACCTCAAGTAAAATCTTCGTAAATTTAAAAGGACTTCACCTAACCAATAAAAAGCACATTTTACGTTTAATTGTGTAAATTGATGAACAACTGTTTTGCTAATATGTGTTGTTAATTTTTGAACACCCTAAGCTACTTATTAACTTAAGGAACAAAATGTTAAAAGTAATGTTTGAGTAATGGTTTATATTTAAAATGAACGTTCATTTATTAAATATATAACAGAATTCTTTATTTTAAACAAGAAGTATCAGATTTTTCTAAGCAAGTTAATAATTAACTTTCTGGCTTAAATACTTGACGACCATGCCCTGTACACAAAGTTCTGGCAAGCTTGTGGCTTATCAAGTTGAATAAATTTTGAAAACTTTCGTTAAAGAAAAAACTGTTTTTTATGAAAAGTTGATGGACAAAGAGTTGTTTAAGAAATTAATTTTAAACTTTTATTATGCGATGCTGTCTAATGTCCTTGTTTATCACCATTATTATTATTGTTATCAATAGATTGATTCTTTATCAGAAACTTCATTTTCTTTTGCCTTTTCATTGCATTTTCGAAATTTCACAGCTTTATAATTATCTCTCATGTAAAGTGCATAAAAATTTCCTGCAAAAGCATAAAAAGTTAATGAGTGAAGCTTGCTACTTGGCTTGTTGGCATGTTGGGCGCTTGACTGGCTAGCTGGCTGTCTCGCTGTCTGGGTGGCAGGTTGGGCTTAATGACAGGGCGCAATGGGGCCGTGTGCTGTAAGGCAATATAAATAAATATGCTTGTACTGCAATCGGAACTACACTCCTACGGCCAATTTCGTCATGAAAATTAAAGATAACATAAATGCGCCCGCCTGGCACGGCACGCCATGCCACGGCAGGGAAATGGACATGGGTGTGAGTATGAGTATGGCAATAGGTTCTGGGCTGGACGGCAGCAGCAGCAGCAGCTCCGGCTCCGCTTCTGGTTCCTGCTTCTTCTTCTCCTCCGGGTTTGCACATCAACGTCGTCGCTGGCATGCTATTTGAATTGAACAAGTGTCAGCGTCGAGGGGAAACACACTATGTTGCGCTGTTACTGCCGCCTTTGTTGCTGCTGTTGCTGTTGTCGTTGTTGTTATTTTCTCTGCTACTGCTGTACAGCATTTGCATGTCCTGCCAGTTGCGAGTAGCGTCAACGAGGACTACGACTACGACGACGACGACGCTCTCAAAACTCAAAATATTAACACTTTAACGCCAAGTTTTTTATCCGGCAGCCGGAAACAGACAACACACAGCGTCGAGCGCCACCGCCAGCGCCACCGCCGACGCCGCCACCACCACTCCCGTCACCATTGCTGCCACCAGCACACAAAACGCCATGTTGGATTATTCAACTCGACGCCATTTCGCGTCACAATGCGCGCTATGCGGCGCCATCATTGCACTCGACAGCGAACGGCACACGGCAAGCAGCTACACTTGACAAAGAATAATTTTAAATATTTTAGGCACTCATTTAAAATTAAGGCAACAAAAAAAATGTAATATGGTTCAAAATAGTTAGTTTTAGTTTATATTTAATCACAGGCACTAAATTTTAATTGCAATAGGATTAACAATATTTGAATTGCATATGGACTGGCAACGTAATGTGTAATTGCGAATGAAACGCTTTCAAGCTTGAATATTTGGATTTATTATTTCGTCTTCAAAATTATTATAAATGAATTATTAGATACTGCTAATGGGGAACAAAATACCTCAATATTCTTCATTATTATATTTACATAATATTCTTATATTTACAATAATATTTTTTTATTTTATTTTACTTTAACATAAAATGTCGCTTCTGTGGTGAATTTTATAATTTTTTGTGCATTTAGTTTTGGTGGAAGGCTAGCAGTTGCTTGTTCTGGATGGAAATGACTTTGAAACAATCTACCCAGAAACACATTTATTTTTTAACAAATATCTGAAAATATTTTGAGAACGTTTCGGCAATCATTTTAGAAGTAGAGTAGATTTAAAATAATTTTCGTACAAACTATTTCTATACCGAAATTCTTTAGAAATGGAATTGATTTCTAAAAAACCAATCTTTACAGCTCACAGAGTATAAATCATTACGAACAAAGTTAATTACAAATGGATTTCAAGAACACTACAAAGAAAAATGTTGGGCAGTTATATTCCTCTGCGCTTAAGCTCGACAACGTCTAGGAAGATAAGTTCATAGCTCTTTAAGAATTAGCTTTATATTCTCTAGAGTTTTCAAAACAAAGTATTACCGGGCAATTTCTTTTAAAATTTACAGTTTATTTTGATGTGTGGAGTTCGAACAATCAAATGTTAACTTTATTAGAGAAGGGGTTGCGCGATATATGATCGCTGCCTCTTTTATTTTTAGTGTAGCCAGTCAGCCAGGGGCAGAAAAAGGTAGAGAGCGGCGAGCGGACGGCTTCGGCGAGCGGATGAAGTTGCAATTCAAAGTCATAAACACGTGGAGCGTGGGCGCAAAGTCTCAGCTAAGCCCAGGCCAGGCACAACACGCTGCCACTGACAGCGGCGGCACTTCCTGCCAACCAGCCAGACAAGCCGACAGACAGAGTGGCAGACGACAGCCCTCCCCGAATAGCCCCAGTCCTAGTCGGCGCACGATGTTCTCCTTTTGTTTTGCCGCCATTTTGTAGTTGCTGCAGTTCCACTTGCATTTGTTGTTGCTGTTGGTGTTGGTGCACCGTTCGTTTTTCATTTGCATGCAAAATTCAAACATCAGCATAAAAATGCAATTTTTATTGCGCAACATTTCTCAACGCCCGCTGCAAATATTTTCGCGGGCTTTATAACATTTTTTTTACAGTTGTTGCTGCCACAGTAGCTGTTTACTGTTGTTGTTGTTGTTGGCGCCGTTTCTGCAGCTCTGCTTGTTGTTTGTTTGATTCTGCAATTCTGTTGTTGTTTCGGGGGGTGCGTTATTTGGTTGCTCATATTTATTTTCACTTTTTTTTTCGGCCCTGCAGCTCTTGCACACGGTTGCCACCGGCAGCGTCGCCATCACCATCACCATCGCCGTCGTCGGTTTTATTATGAGCTGCACTTTATGAAAATGCAGTTGCCAGTTTCCAGTTCTTGTTGTTGCTGCTGTTGTTGTTTCCATAGCTACCGCGCGCTGTCGTTAGAGTGCGCGCTGCTTCTGCACCAGTTTTGAGTACGTTGCAAATATTTTATTATTGCAAAATTTTGCCAACTTATCCTTCTCATGTAAGTGGCCCAATGCCCTCCTTGCCGCCTTTAAGCCTTGAAACGTTGCTGGCTTCTCGCCGTGGCCAAGAGGAAGGATGCGAACCAGCTAAAATAATATTTCGTTGTTTGTTTGTTGCCTGTGCTGTTGCTGTTGTTGCTCTTGTTCGTTCGTTCGTTCATTCGTTTGTTTGTTTATTTTTGAATGTCGGTTCGTTTAGTTGAAATTACGTTTTGTATTCTTGTGCACACGTATATTAGTATATATACACATAAACATATATATTTAGCCCACATATACATACATACATATATATTTTTGCCACTGAATTTCATATACTTTTTATTTAACAACCAACGTGCAGCAACAACAGGGCTGACAGAAAACATTGAAGTAATGATACAGTGTGAAGATTTGTGATCCCTTTGAAATTGTTGTTTGAAATGATGACCCTTGTAAACCCTTTTCTGTCTTTTCCGCTTTTATCATAATGTAGGCCACGAAATTATTGCTTTGCGAAAAGTAAAACATAAATGCACAACATTGAAAAGGAAAACATCAAACATTTTAATAGAAAAATAATCTGTTTGTCAGATGCTGAAATGATAACATGGGAAGAATGCAATTTGTATTGAATAGTCACGGAGAGTCGCGAAGCTAATTGTTAATCCCACAAAATGTCAAAACATTATATAGGGCTAAATTAAATTACCTTAAACCATAAACCCTGGTAAACTACATATAATATTAAAAGATGATAGTTTTTTGAAGAGATTTTAAACAGTTTTTATTCAAAGGTGAAATTGTGAAACCTTTTTGAAGAAGATATAAAATACCTCACAAAAATGACAACTGTTGCTATTATTAAATAGACTTGTGAAATTAGAGGATTATTTGTTTTTAAATAATTTTTGCATGTTTCCTCTTCTAATATAATTTACGGATATCAAGGGAACAGTAAACAAAAATCTTATAAATACTTCCTGGTCTTCCAAGTTTTTCCTCACACCATAAAGCTTTGGGGCTTAATTATGAATATTGTTTTTATAAATTGACGTTATCGAGTGCTTTGGCTTAAAAATCTTGTGTCCAGCCCTGATAAAAGCAACAACAACGTAAACCGAAAACTTGCCATGGCTTGTTATTATTCTTACGTTTACTCCCGCCAATTCGCCGTGCGAGCCGCTGCCTTGGCTTGCTTTCGTTCCCTTCCTCAGCTCCTGTCTTGGCTCCAGCTTGCTCCTGCTTGCCTCCCTGTCCCCTGCTACTTTTAATGGTGTTGTTGTTGTTATGGGCACACTGCTATAGCATTTCTTTAGTTCGTTTCGTTCCGTTACGGCATGCCTGGACTGCCTGCACAGCACTCTGCACGCCCTGTTTCCTCGTTCCCTTACTCCTGCTCGTGTTTTGGTTTTGCTTTTTTTCGTGCTGTTTTTCCAACATTTTAACTTCCGCTCAATTTACCTTTAGGCCAAGTAATTTAAAAGCTGACGTGTTTGTACAACTACAATTTCGACTCATGTTGCCGTTGTTGTTGATGTTATTGTTGCTGTTGCTGCTGCTGCTGTTGCTGTTGTTGGCATTGCTTGCGTCGTTTTGTGTATAGCACTTCCTGATGTGGATTTTTGCTGCTACTTATACGTTTGGCGCTCGGTTTTGACTTGGCGTTTGCTGCTTCTATTTTTTTGTTTGTGGGCTAGAAATATTAAAAACTTAATTTTTTCAGAGTCGTTTTGGTGTTTTATATATTTTGTTTATTTGCTTGCTGCTGCTGTTGTTATTGTTATTCTTGTTGTTGTTGTTGTTGTTGCTATTGGCCTGGCACTTGCCATCAAGTTTTGATGTGCGCGCCAAAAGGAATTTGGCAAAACATCATCTAAAAGCTAAAAGCCAGAATGTAGAGAGCTGTTAAAACTGTTTGCCTTAGTTAATAGTCAAGCAAGCAAAAAGCAAGCAAAATGTAAATATTAATTAAAGTCGATAGTGAATGGCCAAAACGTTTTACTTGACTGTTTTTCTTTGCGTCATGGCGGCCGTCGTTGTGTTTAACATGTGAGCACGCAATTTCCTTGATTGGCAACGCAGGCGGCCGACGTCAACATTGAATGATTGAAGGCGCGCTTGCTAAGCTGTAGAGTAGGCTGGGGCGAAGGCAATGGGTGCCACTGAATTCTCATAGTGTAGTGGATGAAGTGACGAAGTGGAGGCTCAAGTGTGTAAATGCGAGCAACGCATGCATAACGTATCAAAAAGCGTAGCATACTTTTTGGGGCCACATTGCACTACACGCCCGCACATACTTGCAATTTGTGGGTAAAGGAATGCGTATCCGTGTGCGTATGTGTGTGTCTGTGTTTGTGCATGCAGTTAACACCATTGTTTGTGTCGAGTCTGGCACAGCCAGCCAGTCGACAGCCAAACCAACAAGCACTCTGTCTCGTCTGTCTGCCAGTCAAACGAGTCTGTTAGTTTGCACCGTCTTGCCAACGTCTGCATCGCCCGTTATTGCCAAGGCCCCCTCCCCCTCATGTCACCCCCGTCGTCGGACCTGTCGCTATTACTGCTGCTGCTGCTGGCGGTGGTGCATTAAGTGAAGTATTGTTTCTGCTAGATTAATCCTGTTTTAATTAAATATACACGCTGCCAGCAGAAAACCAACAAGAACGCTGGCGTTGGCAGCCACCAGTAAAAACGCAAAAAAATATGTACAGTGGAAATCCTTTATGATGTAGTTCAGACAGATGGTGTTGATGATTAAAGCAATCGCCCTTGATCTCAAATTTGAAGGATTTGAAGGGCTGACATATTTTTCATTTGTATTTTAAATAAGAAAGTGTAGCAGAGCAAGTTTGAGCAGTAGTTACAACTATATGAAGTATATGAAAAAAAAAAACTCCACCTAACTTCAAAGTTATCAATAGTACAGTTTCTGAATATTTTTCAAAGTCTGTTCGGAATACGAACTAGATTCAATCGTTTTATTTGTTGTAATTTAATTGTATTTATGTTAGTTGAGAAGCATAACTGTTGTGGGCAATAATAAATATATATATACAATTATAATTGAATGTGCTGCTTTATAACAATTATTCTTAATCATTTCAATTGATGATGATAATATTTGCAATATTACTGAAAAAAGAAAGATATTTAGTATATATTGTCAATATTTCAGTACTAGTATAAAATATAGATATAGCTTAAGCAAACAATGGCAAACGAATATCAGAAATATCCAAATAAGATATATAGACTGCTGCAACGATCATGCTAGCGTTTTAACTAATAAAACTATAGGTTCTTTATAGACACATCTAACTGTATATAGTAGAGTTTATGAAGAGGAACTGCAGGCAGTCCGTACTTGCGACTTCTGACGTCATGCAAATGTGTGAGCTGGCAGCGGATGGTGCTACTGCTGTTGCTCCACTCTGAATGACAAAGTGACTTGACTGACTGAGCAAGTGTTTGAGTGCAGGAAGAGAGCGCTCATGAATGAGTGCATTCGACCTCGGTTTATTTATTTATATTTTCATTTTCAGTATTTTTTTTTGCTGCGCTCATAAGATTGCTGCTTGTTTTTCATCTACGGCTACTGCCGCTGCCGCTTTTTAAGAAATTTTAAGAAAAATACATTTTCTCACGCAGCTACAGCAGCGGCAAAAGCAAAAGCCGCAGAAGCAGAATCAGCATCAGCAGCTTTGCTTCAGCAAATGCATCCAGCGTTTGTTTGTAATTTCTCTAGTAAATTAAAAACGGTGCGGTATTTTTTTAAGTGCTCTACATAAAAAACTCAGGTTGTTATGATGTAGTTGCCGCGTTTGTCATGCATGCAAGTGGTCGGGAGGCGCCCTTAAGCCGGGAATGAGATTGAAGCAGTGCCAAAGGCTAGAGCTACACACACATATTGCGATTGTATGTGTGTTGGTGTTTGTGTTTGTGCCTGTGTCTGTGTGTGTATGTGTGCTTGTGCAGCATATGAAAACATTGCGATTGCTGCAGGTCTTAAGTTTTAGCTTAAGTGCGCTTTCAGTTCTTAGTTAATGAGCTGAAAGTTTTTATATGCATGGGGTGCAATTTTATAGGTGTCTGTTAAAAGTTCATGTAGTACTACAAGTAGTTGGCTGTGTGGAATATGAATTATAATTAAATTTCGTTGCTGCCATGGTACTCAATGAAAATATTTTCTCTGCATCTCAGTTTGGCTTTAGAGTCACGCACTTAGCCTGAGTACTCGTGCCTCCGTAAGTGGTACGTAAGAATGGCGATCTCCAAAATGTAGGCGCTTGCATGATTTTTGGGTAATTAGCAGAAAAACT